AAAAAAAAAAAAAAAAAAAAAAAAAAAAAAAAAAAAAAAAAAAAAGAACTTCTGTTTAAATCCTCGTGAAACCAACAAATTGGTGTTAAAATTAAAACTTTATAATATTAGGAGTAGATATGAAATTAGGTTTCGATATAATTAAATTGGCTAAATTAATAAAAAAAATATATTAATCATTTCAATAGTATCTTTTAATTAAAAAAAATACTTTTATCCTAGTTTTAGATGAATAATCATTTTAAAAATATTTTTTAACTTTAAATTTTTAGATTTTACTAATACCCTAAACATTAATGAAATTTTTCATAATTCAAGATTGTTTTTGAAGCTTTTAGAAATTTTGAGAATATTTTTGAAATAAAGTATTATTAGTTTCCATATTTTTAAACATTTTTTAGAAAATTTTTAAATTTCAATGAAAGTTTAAGAATATTTTTTTTTAAATAGAGTAAATTTTTTACCCAGTTAAATTTGTTCTCACTTTTTGTTCTGGAAAAAAAAAAAGTAAAATAGAAACGTGCAATTTAGCCAAATATATGAACACATGTTAAGAATGATGGTAAACATCAACAACCTAATAAGAGATAAAGGTTAAAATTTGCTAAACAAAACTCAAATCCAAATAATACATAAATACTCATAGGCTTAATATAAATTGATTTGTGTCGTCTTTTATTTTCTTGGGCTTTATATCTTTTATATATATTATTTTGTTAAATTATAATTTTGATATTTATGATTTGAAGAAAATTAGAGTTTTAAATGATAGAAATAGTCTCTACCCCTAATAGCCCTTAAAAAAGGGGAGGGTGCAAATCGAATGACTGAAGGGCCCATACCCATATAATATCCATATACGTAAATTAAACACTCATAGGTTCATATTATACTTTATTATAGTGATGCCCCTAACCCATTTTCAAAAAACAGAAACATAATACATAAACTAGATAACTAGATGATTACGTGGAGGCACAGGGGGTGGGTGTAGGGAGAGGCTGAAAACCGTGTCCAAGTGTTGCCTTCCACACTTGGTCCACGTTGGAGATTGAGTAGCCACACTCGTGCTCCGTCCACCCTTCCATCGCATGCACCACACCAGCAATACGCCATGCGCTCATCACTCTTCTCGCCAGCCAATTCTGTAAGCATTTATTCATTTATAGACTTAAGCATTTGTCTTCAAAAAGTCTAAAATTAATATTTTAAAATTTTATTTCTAATTTGTTCTTCATTGTTTTGAAAATTGAAATATTAACCATTTTCCCCACAGGGTGGACTTGAAATTTAATGTGGTTTACAAAATCCAACCAATAACATTTATTTAGGTTAGAAAAGGCTAATATGACATTCTAATTTACTCTAACCTAATAGGTTAAAGTATATTAAATATTTTATATTCATCATTAATGTAACATGTATTAAGAAATTTAAATTAAGAAGTTTATTCATATATATTTTTTTAAAATAAAACATTTGTGAGAAAATTTGTGTATGGAGCGTTGAACACCCACACTCGTGTTAAATGGAATAGCCTCTTCTATTATAAATACTCTAAATATCTCTTTACCCTATTAAGTTTTTGTTAGAAATCACCAATCTACAGTGGTTTGTCTACTTTGAGCCTAAGTTTTCATGTCTTTGTTTTGAGATTCTCCATGGCTTTCCCTAGAGGCCTCATGCCATAAAATGTATTCCTTACTTATAAACTCAGGATCATTTCCTAAATTAGCTAATGTGGACTCACTCCCAACAACCAATTGATGAAGGATTACAAGACACTCTGTAAAATACTTACTTTCTAGTTCTTGAGATGAAAACTTAGTAGAGCATACAAGTATTTATAATAGAGCCTACGCAATATACTCCTACCAAACTCAATCTTTTTGGAAAAAATATCTAGATCTATTCCTTAAAATATCTATATATCTTTGTTCTATAATATCTCAAGAAAATAAATATATAATAGGCTAGTATAATTATTGGACTTGACTCTACTATGCTACATAATAGTTTAATATTAGGGAGCACATAATATTTTAATAGTAGAGGAGAATTTATAACTGTAACCAATTTATTTTTAAAATATTTAATCATTTATTATTAAAATTTTTAATTTTTTTCTTAAAATATTCCGTTATCTTTGTTCCTTTTATATATTTTAAAATATATAAGCAATTATCTAGACTTAATTAAGTGGATGATATTTGAACAGAGAGTACCTCGCAAGAGTGGAGATTCTGAATAGAAGGAGGAGCCTTCATAGCAGGGGTGCAGTGGTAGTAGCAGTCTTTGCGTATAACCTTTGGAGGTAACTGTGAGAAGGGAATGAAAGTGGTTCCTTTTGGTGCCTTCAGTTGTTCTTCGTTGGTAACATCATCTCCCACTAACCATATCTGCGTCAATTTATATTTGTTAACATTATTTGTATGAAAAAACAAGAAGAAAATAGGTGAAAAGATTTTTGGAACTCACATTTTGAGAACAGCCTTTTGAAACCATTAGATTGCTCTCAAATTTGGTGTTGGATGATTTGTTGAGCTTCCTCAATTCTTCTTCACGTAACACATCTACCTGCACACAACCAAAATCATAAACTTTCACCTCATTTCACCCAAAAACTATTCAAGTTTCTTCTTTCCTGACAAACCCGATTATTATCGTTATTGACTTATAAAACACAAATATAAGAAACACTAACATAAAACATTTTTAATGGACATCAATCTAGAAGAAATTACAAGACATAGAAACTCATGCACTATGTAGTGCTTGATATTAATTGGATTTCTTGGGATGGAAAAAGTTGGTAGGGTAGAGATCATACAATATATTCATAAAATATCTTAGTATCAAACTATTTTACTACATCTTTATTCTTAAAATACCCCAATCATTTTATGAAAATATCTAGATATTTTTATTCCTAAAATATTTAAATCGTTTCTTTAAAATATATATACAATGTGTTCATATAATTATTGGGTTTGACTTCTTAGGAGTAATGATAATTTAACCTGATAAATATCTAAAATAAATATATCACAAAAGTGTTAAAAGATATTTAATTATAGAAACAAATTTCATATAAATTTTAATTATTTTACTAAATTTGTTTATGTTTTTTTTTTTTATAATAATAATGAAAGAACAAGAAGCAAATTTGAAACGTAATTCATTTTCATTTTTCTAATTAAAATGGAAAAAACGATAATATTCTCAAACGGCCCCAGAATAATAATAATAATAATAAAGAAAAAAGAAAGTTGTAGGTTATAATGCAAACCTGAATGCCTCGTTGGCACAGAGAA